AAGGAATTTGAACTTGAAATTTCACATGGTGCTCCACCAAATACTGCCTTTTCTTTGAAATAAGTGTCATAATTTAGCCGAGACTGATTTTTCAGAGATTGAATTAAATGAAACCCAGACCAGCTATTTAGTTGTTGACATAGTTTCATTTCAAGGCAGGTAAATGGATCAATCAAGCAGTTAATAGCCAAAATTTGAATTTTTTTGGGGGTGGGTGGGTGGGAGGGACCATCAGCAAGAGAGACTGGAGAGTTGCATGGCTACACAGTTCATTGCAAACACTGGAGAACTGGAACCGATCCTGACCTGTGAATTTCACCAGTTGTCATAGCTGATATGAACGACAATGTTCTGGTAGACTCTTGTTCCTCTGTTAGACTGGAGAGTGTACCCTAATGTGCTAATTGTTTTTTCTGTTTGGTTTGATCAGAAATCAGTATCAATCTTGTTAGCATATTTCCTGCTTGTGTTGCCACGGTTGGGCTTGGGCTGACCGTGAGCTGATGACTTTCCCTCTTTAAATGGGAAAGAGATGCTCACAAGAGTCCTTTCCAGCTTAAACTACATGATTTCATTTTCCAAGTGAGAATGAACACAAGATTTTAAAGACTGATTTTTTTTTCCCTTAAAGAATTATTACCTTTGGAGCAAGACAGCTTGGGGTTGAATCTTAATTCCCTACTTAAAACTGTTACTGACTGACACTAAGCCTTAGGTCTGCATTCACCAAATAGGCGTGTCAACAATAATGACTTCATTAGGTCACTGTGTAGAGTAAATAAGTGAACATCTGTCAAGTGCTAAAGGAATGCTTCAATCCTTGTCTTAGTCAGAGTTCTATTGCTGTGAAGAGATGGCATGATCATGGCCACTCTTATGAAAGAAAACATTGAATTGGGGCTGCCTCACAGTTCAGAGGCTTAGTCCGTATTGTCATGGTGGGAAGCATGCAGGCATGCAGACAGACATGGTGCTGGAGAGGAACTGAAAGTTCGACATCTCAGCAGGCAGCAGGAAGGGAGGAAGACGCTGGGCCTGGCTTGAGTATTTGAAACCTCAAAGCCTACCCCCGGTGACACACTTCCTCCTGCAAGGCCATGCCTCCTAATCATGTCACTCTATGGTGACCAAGCATTCAAATCTATGAGTCTATAGGGGCCCTTTATATTCAAACCACCACAACCCTGCTGAAGGCTGAATATGGGATGGCTTGTGTCACTTGAATGGTGTCACTGACCAATGGCATTCAGGAGTGAGTGCAGGTTTCCTTTTTAGACCAAGAATGCTTTGAGATCCATGGGAAATGAGGCTTTGAATAGCAGGTGAGGTTATATTTAAATCAGATGCAGAGCAACAGGCCAGTTACCCTGCAGCCTGCCCACACTCGTGTGGACCAGCTGCCCTTCTTGCCACTCTTCCCTTTCATCTGGCAAAGAGAGAGCAGAATTTGGGCAGGTTTAAGGCTAACTGGCAAAGCTTCTTCTCTTTTCACACAGAGTTGTCTGGACACTCTTTTTCCCAATGTGATGACATTCGATGATATGAAAAAATGCTTAAGAATAGAGGTTCTGTGTTCGAGTTCCAGCTTTGTTACTTTCCTGACAGTTTTCTTACACAAATTACTGTTTTTCATTGTTTATCCATTCAATGAGAATAAAAATAGTCTATGATGAGTAAATGTAATATATATATATATATTACAAAGTTCCAATAAGATTGGATACTGAAGATATAGTAGATGTTGTAGTTACTATATGATTATTAAATTAAAGAGAAGCTCTGTAGATTGACAGTGACTCACTGGGGAAAATATAAGGAATATGTGTACATATATTTTAACTATCATTAATAATTGTCTAGGTAGAGAAAAATCTTACATTGGCACATGTATCTGAAATGAATGTCTTGTGGCTACTTAAAATTTAAAAACTGGCCTAAGTGTACAAATGGAATCACAGAGTTGGGAAGAGTGCTAATAAGTCAATCATCCCTCCCATATGTCCTCTTAGCTACCTCCTTGGTTCTTAGCTGGAGCTGTACTCCAAGACAGAGGGAGTTTAATTGTATCCCTGCTGATTTTTGGTTCTCTCCTTCAGGTTATGGTCCATACTGTACCAGAATACTAAGCCCAATACATGTAGGCATGAAGAGACTTCATTGTAGGGCTATCTGCACAACTTGTTGAAGTATTTAATGAGAGCTATAGTTTCTCTGGACATTTTTTTTTCTGACCCTAACATGGGGCTATAAAGAGCCAGTAACACTGAGGTGAAATAAGTGTGTTCTCTTGTTTATGAATCAGATGTTCCATGGAGAAATAGATAGAATATTGGTGCCCATCAGCCAGCAGTGATGGACTTGGAGGAGTTCAGTGCTTGTAAAAGCACTGGGGAAATGATGGAGACATTAAAATGACCCAAAACAGAGGACACACGACCTGAGAGGCAAAGGGACTGTTAGCTGCAGGGGCAGCTAACATGATCAAGCATTGTAAGGACCTCCCCCACACCCAGAACTCTGCAGCTCTGGGCTATGGGGCTCCCGGTCAGCCTGCTTTGATTCAAATATGGGTCTATACCCTTTAGTGGTAGCAAGTCTGCAGCCATTGTGGGACTTCTAACTTTCCCCTATCCTTCCTTCTCCCCTGCTCCCCATCATCTTGTCTCTTCCATCCTTTCATCTCCTTCCTTCCATTCTCTTCCAAGATAGGGTCCCAAGAAACAGTAATTCCTCCATATTGCAGGAATGGCATTGGTAAGGTTTAAAACAAAACAAAACAAAAAACCCACACAGGAATGATTTTTATAGCTCATGGAAGGAGCCCCTAGCCTGATTTAAGGGATAAAGGAAGGATGTTCTGAAAGATACAATATCGAGACAGAAACCTCAAAGATGAGCTACATTCTTAATTAGTCTAGATGGGAGGCTGGGTATGAGCATTCAGTAACAGAGAACAGTGCATGAAGGTGTATGTGGGTGTCCACGCTTGGGACAACACTGGGTATTCACCAGATGCTCAATATTTAACAGGCATTTGTACTTAGCATACAACTGGCATTGTTTTACATAATAGAACATCAGTTAGCAAGAGAAGTGATAGGCTTCTTTTTGTAGATGTTCTAGAGGAGAAGAGGAGATGGAGATGTGAGCTGGTCAAGGGAGGATGATCAGGGAAGCTTTCAGAATGAGAGGATGGTTGATCTGAGACCCTGATGGGAAGGAGCCAGCATTATGAAAGTCCCTGGGAGGCAGGGAGGGAGGCAGAAGGAGCATCCAAGGCAAAGAACTCAAAATCACAAGCGTTCTTGGTATGCTGGAGAGATTGAAAGACTGTACGTTTGCTGGTAGGAAAAGGCACAAATAGTGTAAATGATGTCTCATTAACCAAGGAACAAGAAAGGGGGCCCTAGTTTGCTGTTGGTAGGAAGGTTAACTGGTGAAGCCATTTGGAGCGGATAGTATGGAGCTGCTGTGTGTCCTAGCTGTCCTTGTTCTGAGAACCCACTCACAGGAGGTAAAAACCATCTCATATAAAGATATTTGCATCCCATGTTCATTATAGTGTCATGCTATGGAAACAGCCCAGTGTTTCTAAGTGAGAGATAGCTAAAGAATACATGTGCATGTATGTGTGTATATATGCACATGTCTAAAAACTGTATTATGCAGCCATAAAATGGACTGGATTTTCCATTTGGCACAATGTAGATGGACCCAGAAAATGCCACACCAAGTGAAATAAGCCAGACACAGGAAGAAATATCTTGCATGATCCCATTTATGTAGAAAATAAAAAAGAGAGTCCAATGTATAAAAACAGAGAAATAATTAGGCTTTCCAGAGTTGTCTGGGGGAGGGGATAGGGAGGTGTGGTTCAAAAGATCCAACACAGCAGATATGAAGACTAAAACACAGCCTTAGGGTGTAGTGTGTTGTGTTGTACTGGAGGTTTATGTTACATAAGGAGATTGTAGTCTCTCTTGTCACATATGAAACAGGTAGGGATTTGAGAAAATAGGGCAGTTTTTCTCACTACAAATCTGAAACGGTTTCTCTCTCTTTTCCCCATAGTATCACCTAAACTTCAAATATGCCCCGTGATATATATGCAAGTGTATATGTATATGCACACACATATTTGTACATATATATGGTGCAGTTGCTCATGTGGAGTCTTTTGGATGATATCAGGAATCTTATTTTTATAAATGTCTGCCTTATTTTTTAGCAGGGACTTTTACTGAACCTGGAGCTTATGAATTGGCTATAGTAAGCTCCAGGGATCTGCCTGTGTCCACCCCAGCAGTACTGAGGTTATGAAGGCATGCTGGCACACTCGGCTTTTTACATTGGTGCTAGGAGTTAGACTTAGGTTTTCATGTACGCGTGGGAAACACATCAACCACTGAGCTATCTCCACAGCCCCAGTAAAATACATTAAAAAGAGTAATTTGGGTCGAGCGGAGAAACATTTAGAACACTTGTGATTCAAATGAGTGGAAACCCATACACACAGTGATCTCTCTTCAAAGCAGGGAAGCCTTTGGAAAATCCCAGCTGCAAATATCTCTCCTCTGAAGTAGGTCTTGGCTCTGTGTGTTTTAATAAATACAACAAGACAAAGTGTACCTTTTACAAAGAACTGCACATTGGGCAAATGTGCCCATAACAGCTCTGCTTTTCCTGTTATGGTTATATGCACCATCACCATCACCATCAGCAGGGCTATTGGCCAGCATTGTGTCTCAGGATGGTCATTGTGCCAGTGATGGGTGTCTTATTGTTTTCTCCTGGGTACTAACCATCTCTCTCTCCTTACTCCATGTACTATCCCTTTGACCCAGATTTCTGTTTCAAGAGTGCTTTAAATCCTTTCTATCTGGTTTGAGCTCGTTCCATCCAGGCTAAGCCCCCATGCTTTTTTCTCCTTTTCCTGGTCTGTCTGTCTTGTGTTGTATCAAGAGCCACACAGGAGACTCATGACTCTTGTTTATTCCCAGTTAACAGTTTTGGGGATGACGAAGAGCCTTCCACATCTTCTGAGAGTGATGAAGATGTGATCAAGCAGTTTGAGATCTCTGTGTCCCGATCCCAGAGTTTTCGTACGGGAGCACCCGAGAAGGGAAAGACCGCAGAGTTAGAGCTGAAAACAAAATGCAACCGTTTGCTGTCCATCCACCAAGAAGACAGCGCTGAAGTGTCTGCGTGTGAAGGTATCCATTGCAGCTTGTTTCTCCTTTATCTAGGCAAGGGATGGCTAATGGTGAGAATGCTGGTGAAAATTTTAAATACTTATCCTTGCATCTAAGAGTCCAGGGAGGGAAAAGAGAATAAACCATGGAACTGGGGAAAGAGTCCACAAAGAATAGTATAGCATTTCTCAGTGCTTTTCAACTTCATGCTCAGAGTCCCGAAGAGAGAGAGATGCTGGACCAGGGAAGAGTCTGGGAAATGCAGTTGATAAAAGGCTACAGAAAGTATGCACCATCCAGCTTTATCTCTGCTCACAGTAATCTGTGCTCTCCAGTCTTCTTTTTCACTCTTGGGGCGTGTGGGCAGCCACAGCAATGGGGACATCACAGTTCATCTTCCATGTTGTTAACTCGAGACAGAGGGACTGAGAAATGGTAACAGAGAGATTTTGATTTGGTAATGAGAACAGGACAAGTAGAAAAAGAACAAAGGCTCAACGAACCAACAGGACCCTGCTTGGGGGGCAGGGTAAGCTTGCTATTTGTCATGCAGTTAGACTTATTGACACAACCCAACATGACCTATTTTAACAAACCACAACATAAATGGCTGCAGACCCTCCAACGTCCCTCCCTGACTCTCTCCTGTTCCCCAGTGTTTCACTTTGCATTCCTTTCTTTCCACCAAGCGGGCAAATGCTGGCTAATGAAAGTTAATAGTAGTTGATTCCCTGGGAGTAGCTTGTTTAATTCTAAAGCTAATGGCCCCATTTCCCAGAAGCCTGGGCGTCTCGGGTCTGATTTATATAAATGGCCAAGGCTCTGAGAATGGAGCCAGCCACCCTGCCTCACCTTCCTGGAATGCACAGTAACTTATCCTTGTCAGAACTAGTAATTCTGATTTTTTGACAGGTAGTGATAGAAAAGATAAAATTCTGTCTATTGGACAGAGGACAAAGTCTACCACATTGAATGAATTCCTGTAAATTCTGAAGAAAATCCAAAAGGTTTTATAGAAATAGCGGCATGCTAAATTTGAGGCCATCAAAGCTGTGGGAAGATTAATGTTTACATTGCTTACTTTTCCTACCATTTCTTTTCATTCATCATTCTACCATTTTAAAGATAAAGAATAAATTTTTCCTCATATTTCACCCACTTTCTGTTTAGGTATTGTATTTTACTTAGATTCAGTTGAATTGTAGACAGTTCTTCTTGTTTTAAAATGTATTAAAGTGTTGGACAGTAAAACTAAATGTTTGATATCCAAGTGAAATCTTTATTTGCAGCGAGCTGCAGGTAGCTTACTCTATGCTTGCCTTAAGTGAGATCAAGGTTGATTCCTTATGAACTCATCAGCAGTGTATTCCAAGCCATGCTTTTCCCTCAGGCATCTGATTTAGTGTTGCTTCACACTCTTGTCAATGCACTCTTTCACTAAATAATTAATTTATTCTTTGAGAATTTCATAAACGTGTACAATATATTTTGACCATATCCACCCCCATCTCCTCTGCTCCCACTGCCCCCTCAGCTTCATATCCTCTAATTTTTTCAAACCAACTGAGTCCAGTTAGCGCTGCTCACATGAACACGGTGGTTTGGCCATTCACTGGAGCATGGGCAATCTATAGTGGCTACACTCTCAATGAGCAGTGACACCCCCCTTCCACCAGCAGCCATCATCTGTAGTCGCTCCTTAACTAGGAATGGAGCCTCCCAGGCCCCTTCCCTATCCATGCCACAATGCTGACTGGCTCGATCTTGTTCAGGTCTTGTGCAGGTCACCTCTGATGCTGTGAGTGCCTGAGTACAATGGCCAGAAGACAGCATTTTACAGCACTCTTCCCCATTACGTTCTTTCTGACTCCTCCTTTGCAGTGTTTCATTAACCTTCCCCTGTACTTATCTTCCTCCCTCTTCCATAAAGAGCCCCTCTTCCCCATCTCCCCTATCAGATCATCATGTGTATCCTGCCATTCCCCTTTACCTTCTTCACACCTTCTTCTGTATTTACCTGCCTTCCGTGCCCACAGCCCCCTCTTTACCCATTTTCCTGATAGATCACTTGTGCTCTGCTATTCCCATCTCTATTGCTATCCCACACCCCATATCCTGTCAATGGTCCCATTTTTCTTTCCTGGTTTCTGTAGTTACTATTATACAATAGTATATAGTGTATATCATACTACTGCTCACATCTCAAGATTTGGAGCTAGGAGCCTCCAATAGAAGAGAACATACAGTGTTTGTCTTTCTGGGTCTAGGTTATCTCATTCAATAGTATCTTTTCTAGTTCCATCCATTTACCTGCAAAGTTCAAATTTTCTTTTTTTCTTGTAATGGAAGGCTTGAGTTCCAGGCAGAGTATGAGCCATAGCATAATTGTTGACTTGTTGGGGCTGGCTTTTTTTTTTTTTATTTATTTTTTGGTTTGTTTCAAGCAATAACCTTGAAGCTAATTAGGAATAGCTGCTCCTTATCAGCATATCTAACTGCAGCCCTTGGGCTACATGTGGCTCAGGAGAGCTATAAATGTGGCCCAAATGCAAAATAATTAACTTATTTAAGACATTGAGACTTAAAAGTATTCATACTGCTATTGTGGACTTTTTGAGTGTGAACTTTTTAGATGCTAACAATGTCAAAAGGTTGGGTATACTCACTGAGATGTTTTATAAAAGTTAGATATCATCTTCATATCATTAAAAACAACCCATAGTCCCAGTCAGTGTCTGTAGCCAGTTCTGTTTGGAGTGATATACCAACCAGAGAAATAGGACTAGGAACACACACACACACACACACACACACACACACACACACAGAGTGCATACATACATATGTGTGTAGATTTCAAGAGATTCATTGCAAACACTTAGCTGATCTGATCATGCTGGGTAGATACAGAAGTCTCCAGCTCTGCCCTCCCTGGAGCAGGCTGTGAGGGAGTCAATGCAAGCTCTCAACTATGAGCTGGGACTTCCATTCTTAGATGCAATTTCTTCTTCTCCAGGGTAGCCTCAGTTCTCTTCCAGTCTTTCAATGAACCGATTGTGAACCTCAATCACACCTGCAAAGCAGGGACACATCAATTCCTGTTAGAACTTGAATAATTGGCATCCATAACCCAGCTAAGATATCACGCAGGTGGACCACTGTGGATAGTGAGTGGTAATCTTTATATATGGCTAGATACAGAACATGGAGGACAGTAATTGGGTAATAGAGTTTTCCATTAAAGTAGCTCATAAACTAAACAACTTGAATACTTTATCTGATCACATAAATATATTTGATGTGACATAATTATGTCATGTAATTTCTAAGAAGCCAGGGTCTATTTCTCTATTGTCTATTCTCTGACAATAGGGTGTTACCTTTGCACATGTGTTTAAGGTGGTGTGACCCTCTGTCATTTAAAGGCAAGGGGACCTTTCTCTCATATAGAAAGTGATCTACCACTCCCTTTCCTTCTTGTTGCTACTTGACATGTAGCCCAGGCTTGATTTTCTCATTCATCCTTTGCTTGTCTGTCATGGAAAAATGCTTTGGTACATTAATATAGTTCTATTTTTTTCAGTTATGAATAACGTTTCAAGGCTTAATGTAGCTGTTGAAAGTCCCACATTACTGATCTAGGTATTATCGCCATAGGAGTTAAAGTCATGAGACAATTTTATGGGGATAATTTCTTGGCAAAGTTAGATTTTGTGCCGAAGTCCTGCTGGGTACTGCACACATTGATAGATGGCCCACTGTTTAATAGGACATCTCACTGTTCATGTATGTGAGGAATGGGTGTGCTAATTAGAGACTTAGGAGAAAATCCTGCTTTATTGTTGGAGGTTTTTGCATGAGGAGTTTCCCCTCATTCTGTCGTTTTCTGTGGCATTTAAAAAAGTGTTTTTGCCAAATATCTGAAAGTATGAATGTAACATTTTTTTTTTTGGTATCCTGTGAAAGTGTTTCCAAGGAGCCTGGACTGAATATTTAAGAATAACACAACAGAAAGAGGATTTTTTTTTCAATGACTGGTGTGGTTTTGAAAAATTATAAATCCAGAGTCCAAAGTTGTGCCAATCTGGTCTGTATGGATAGTATTTAAAAAATACACATGAGAATGAATATATATGTATATTCTCATGTGCATGTGTGTGTATACATGCGTGTACATATGTGTGAACATGTGTGTGGAGGTTCAAGGCTGATGTTCAGAGTCTTCCTGATCATTCTCTACTTTAGTCATGGAGACAGGGTCTCACAGTCAAACTCAGAGTTTGCTAGTAAGCCTAGTCTAGCCAGTCGACTTGTTCTGGGAATCCATCATCTCTGCCACCTGGACACTGGAATCACAGATGCGCCATCATGCCCATCTAACATTTATGTGGGTTCTGGGCATCCAGACTCTAGTACTTTTGATTGCATGACAAACACTTTACCCCTGAGCCATTTATAAGCCCCGCGTTTTATATACGTATATGTATGTATATATATATATATATATATATATGTGTGTATATATATAGCTTGAATCAGTGTATCAGTCCTATATACCCTAGTTAGTTACTGTCACCAAGATCTCACATCACTTCCCACCTGACTGCTCCAAGGATGTCATTACATGACTACTCGGCAAAGTTATTCAAGAAGTTTAGTGGAAATGTAGCAGCACATACAGACTATGTGTGTTTATGTCTTCTTGGAGCATGTGCGATAGCCAAAGTTTCTAGACTCATTGAGGAACTGCTAGGTCACATAAGAGCTGAACTAGGGATATCTCTTTACCTGTCTTAGATAGGGTTTCTATCATTGCAGCAAAACACCATGACAAAAAAAGCAAGTTGGGGAGGAAAGGGTTTATTTGGCTTACACTTCCACATTGCTGTTCATCACCAAATGAAGTCAGGGCAGGAACTCAAACAGGGCAGGATCATGGAGGCAGGAGCTGATGCAGAGGCTGTGGAGGGGTGCTGCTTACTGGCTTGCTTCCCATGATTTGCTCAGCCTGCATTATTGTAGAACCCAGGATCATGAGCCCATGGATGGCACCACCCACCATGGGCTGGGTCCTCCCCAATTAATCACTAATTGAGAAAATGCCTGACAGCTAGATATCATGGAGGCATTTCCTCAACTGGGGCTCCTTCCTCTCTGATGACTCTAGCTTGTGTCAAGTTAACACAAAACCAGTCAGTACACTGCCCCACTCACTCATGTCTATACCTCTCGTTTTCTTTCATCCCAGTTTGGGTCCCCAGTCAGGGCTGCAGCTGTTGCTTGGGAGAAACCTGTCAGGTTCACTTTGTCTGCTGACACTGAGGGGAATGAATGGGGTGAATAGGATTGTGGGAGGTATGGAGGAGGAGAGGAAAGATGAGAAGAAGGATTGGGGGCAAAAAGAGAGGGAGAATAAGAAAGAAAACTACCAAGGTTTTTAAATGGGTACTGACATTGGACCTAGGTCCCTGTACTTACAAAGCAAGTGTTTTACCAACTCAGACATCCCAAGCCTTGGTTTAATACTTCTTACTTCCTAATAATATGAATATAAAGAATGGATATGTATGTTAAAAGGTTAAAACAAATCCAGTGGAGTTGATAACCTAGAGGTGGTTCTAGAAACCAAACAAGGAGTGTGGAGAGCATGTGGTCTCCTCACTCTGTGCTCCTCTGTCTTCTACAGTTACCAGGTCACTCTCTGCTCAAAAGGCTTCAGAGGGGAGAAAGGGGAGAGAGAAAAAGGTTGAGCCTGAAGGAGTCAGGGATAGTTCAAGAATTGATGGTCTCTGAGGGGGCAAGACAGAGAGGAGAGGAGAGAAACACCCAGAGAGATCAGAAGTGGATGATGAGATGGGATGCGGTGGAAACGGGTTTAATGGGTTGGAAGAATCAAGATCGGGCCAGGCAGGTGAGAATCTAATATTTATGGGGAAAGCCTGCTGCTGTCTGTCTGATAGAAATTATTTTACATCTCCAATGACCTACTGATGGCTTCTTAAAAATGTTTTTGTGTAAGAAAGTAAGTGTTCAGAAAATATGAACATTTTCCAGGTTCACCATATTGTTCAGATTCAGAACTTCTGTGGCTCAAATACAGAAGCTTTCACTTTTATCAAGATTTCAAGTTTTTTTTTTTTTTTTTTTTAAGATATTTTCCCCTGTAGCCCAGGCTGGCCTTAAGCCCATGATTCTCCTGCCTCAGTCACCTCAGTTACTGTCATTACAGGTGATCTTTACTACCATATCAAGTTCCCATTGAAGCCTTTTGAGCAGAGAATAATGTGGTAAATGCAGAAGACAGAGGAGGAGCTGGGAGTGAGGAGACCATGTGTTTTGCATGTCACTTTATTTGCTTTCTAGAACCATCTCTAAAGTCTTGAGCTTATCAGCTCTAAAGCATTTATTTTAATCTTTTAACACAAATATCCATTTTTGGGTTTTTTTTTCAAGACAGGGTTTCTTTGTGTAGCCCTGGCTGTCCTGAAACTTGCTCTGTAGACCAGGCTGGCCTCGAACTTAGAGGTCCACCTACCTCTGCTTTCTGAGTGTTGGGATTAAAGGTGTTCACCACCACCACCACCACCACCACCACCACCACCACCACAACCACAACCACTACCATCTGGCACAAATATCCATTCTTTATACTCATATTATTAAGAAGTAAGAAGTATTAAACCAGGGCTGGGGGATATCTGAGTTCATAAAGAACTTGCTTTGTAAGAACAGGGACCTGTGTGCAATTCCCAGTTCCCACATCAAAAAAGTGTAGTGTGATCATGTGTGCTTGTAATCCTAGGAATGGGTCAGCCGGTATAGCTGAATTGGTGATCTCTTGGCCAATGAGAGACCTTGTCTTAAAATAAGGTGGATTGCGTTTCTAAGAGTGACACCTGATGTTATCCTTCCATTTCCACATGCAGGCTCACATGTATGCATATCCACCAGTATACACAAAAAAACATAACACACACCCACACATATGCATGTCCACCAGTATACACAAATAGACATACACACATATGCATGTCCACCAGTATGCAGAAACAGACATACACACATGCGTAAGATATTAAGCCTACTTTTGTCTCATATAATAAACTAGTAGTCTGAGTATAGGGACAGAGTTTGTCCATCATGTGGGTGGCATTGTCTTTGCAGATGTTATTGTCATAAGTTTCGTTACCGTGGTCTTGACTATTGTGGCTACAGCTGTGCAATTTCTCTAGCTCAAAAGGTATGAAAATATATTTGAAATAGTTTTTTTTTCTTGCAAATTTAGATTTGGATGGAACCAGCCAACTCAGTTATTCTGGGGTTCTGTCTTATGAAGATCACGCCCTCTCTACCCTGTCGCAGTCTCCCTGTGAGAGCAGAGACACCAGGCACCATGGCCCCTGTCATCAAGAGACTGGCATGGTCCAAAGCCTCAGTCATCCTTGCGCAGATGGCATCCGAGAGACAGAGACAGCTTCGACTAACCGGGGTTTTGAAGATGCCTACGCCACTCCCAGCTCCTCTATGTGGAGTGCAGAGGCAAGCTGTTTTCTTTCTTTCCTTTGGTCTTGGCAAGTTGTTTTCTATTCTTTGTTTTAGTCCCATGCATTCTTTCATTTCCTTCCCTCTTCCGCACTGGATGTCTCCTGAAAGGAGTATTGCCTGGTCTTAAAAAAACCTTCCATTTGAACCAATTTTTTTGTCTAGACGACCAAAGCCTCTGTGAATAGCCATGAAAGAATCACAAATACATCCTTTCAAACTGGAAGCAGCAGCAGAATGTGGTGGGAAGATGGAGAAAGGTTATCAGGGGCAGGCCCTTCACAGGGTTATTCTCATACCAAGGGCCTTTTAGACCTTGGGAGAGCCTGATTGCTTTCCGTCAAGGAAAAGTGGATTCTATTTTATTTCACCCCAACTCTTTAGCTATGATTGCTGAAAATTAAAATTATTGGAGAATTTAACTAAAGTGACATGTTCATCAAAATGAAAGTACACATGGAATTATGGTGAGTGTCTTGTGGTGTTAGATTTGAATCAAGATGAAGGTCTGGGAGGTGGCGCTGATACTCTGGCCATTGATGTTGCTTTTTGGAATAAACATTTGATGGAAGATGCAGCGTATGAATCTGTCTTCCAATTAAAGCTTGTCTGTCACATGTCAGAGGTAGAGTGAGTGGTGACAATGATGGCAGCCATGACGGAGAGGGACACCAGCTACTACAGTCCAGGGTTTCACAAACATTGTTTTATCTCATAAGCGTTTCTGATTGTTCGTGAGCTCCACCCATTCTATAATGATTCCTCGTTACTAAGATGTGTTAACTAGTGGTGTCTAATGTCTAATTTGAAATCAATTTAGATGAAAGTACTCATAAACATTCAATAGTCAACGATCATAGGACTTCAGTACAACATGTGGAGCTGGAAGTATAGAATGAGTTGAACACTTCAACCAGAGAAAATAAGTGGGGTGAATGTCTTTAGAAGGACTCAGAGGTCACACTGGATAAGTGCTTAAAGAAATGCCTAATAAAACTGTAAAAAAATCATGTTCCAAAGTCTTGCTGTTTTCAAGTTAGTGGAGAGACGTAGGGTGTGTGTAAGAATGCCTGTGTGCATGCATTTGCATGCATATTCTGGTGCCTCTATGATGCTGTTTCTGTTGAGAACCAGAAATGGAAACTCAGATACCTGGTTTATAGTTTGTTAAAGTCAATTCTTACCACACTGGTACTCAAAGCTACTAACTTTCATCAGTTTTGTTAAAAAGAAAAAAAAAAAAGACAGAAGCAAAATACAAGTCTGCTTTCCCATGATGTCACTGCTCTTAGTCAAATCAAATCCCACACAATATTTAAAAATATTCCCTTTGTCTCCCTCCCTGCAAAAACAAAGCAGAACTATTTACCTGCCTGTCGATAACTCTGTCTCCTTGATAATTGTGCCATTAGGTTTGGGCTTGCCTTCTCCATGTAACCTCCCATTTCCCTGCCTCCTGGTGCTTTAATAGATGACTTATGCTGAGGGTACTGAATGTTCTCAGGCTCCAAAAATACCCAGACAGCTCCGTGTGCGCCATTCAACCTCCTATCTATTTTGAGACAAAAACTGTAATTTGGTGCTCCTACTGTAGAACTTGAGATCTAGCTCAGGCAGTTCCCGTAACTGGCTGCTCTGCAGGCGTAGCTTGCCTCTTAAGCATTGATTTATTTGTCTTTTAGCTGTGTTAAGAACCTTGGCTTCCCTGGTGTATCTGGCATCCAGAACGTATTGTGGATCCATTTACTTTGGGCCACAAGATGACATCAACACTCTCTTACTAAAACAGGAAGGCTTTCGGTTTGACAGAAAATCTTTAAACTTAGGGGGGTTTTGACAGTTTGATGCAAGCATTTCCACCTTAAAGGGGAAAATCAGGACAGGGGAAGCTCAAGGAATCATTTATTTTGTCTCAGAAGGAAAGCGCTCATGCGGTGCGACTACCTGCTATGATCATGGGCTTTCCAGTTTCCTCTCAGCTGGCAAAGACCATTGACTTTCTCCTGCAGATCTAGGGCTTGGTAGGGAAAACAATGGGAAGGTGGCTGGAAATTTCAAACACACGGAGAGCCAGGTGTCCCACTTTTCATCTCTGCTTTCCACTGATTAATTGGTTGGCCTTGAGAAGTTAATTAAAATCTGCCAAATGGGGATAAGAAGGAAGAGAGTTTTACCTTGCAGGAAGGTCAAACAGATTAGCAGTATTAACAGTACCCATACAAGGAGCTCCTTTGGTGGCCTGGTGATAGGTAATGTGTGTTGAAATAATTAATTGCTATGAAAATACAAACCCTCACAAATCTCTGTCTCAAATCAACCCAGGTAGAGCCTGCGAAGCCCAGTTTTCATGAGCAACAGCTGGGATTGGCCCATTGGGAGCCCAGCTGCTGCCCAGAGCTGTGCTTTGCCCACAGTTCTTAGAACACTTGTAGTAGGGCTCTGCCCAGGGCTCCTCAGAAGCCTGCAGGTGCAGCGAGCATGATGGATGTACAGGGAGATCCTTATTATCCGCGTATTTTTACCTTGGCATTGAACTAGATGATGAAGCTAGCGACTCCTACCTAGTACTAAGAGGAGAGACCTGAGAGGGCATGATTTTATAGGACTGCTGTCCAACTTCCATTTCGATTGCCTTCCGTCTTCATCCCACATGCCTAATACACACAGAAGCATCTACGATGAAAGGTTTGGCAGAAAGAAGTAGGTCATGTGGCTTAACACAAGGTTTGGGATTTAGACTATTCAATATTAGGTAAGATATGCTCTCAGGTTGCTGGGAGTGAGAATCTTGAATGATCCTGGCCTGGCATGTGACCCTGGAATTTGAAGGGTGTTAGTTACATAGCCAATTTTAGCTTTAGTTTCCTTTCTGATGAAATCAAGATATTAAAATACTAGCTCATTAGGCAGATGTAAGTATTAGAAAGCATGGTGTTTCCTAGTTGGGTTCCCCAGTAAGACAAAGCTGAAGGTGAAGGCTTTTGTTCCCTACCTTGCTATTGAGCACATTCTCAGTGGATGAGGAAATGAGGAAGGGAAGAAGACAGGTTATGGATGAGAATGTGCCATTGAGTTGGCCACCACCCAGTAAGACCAATTGCTTTATCCTGTGGGACATACTCAAAGAAATTATAACCTGCTCCCAGGTCATCCTGCCAACAGAAGAAAGTTTATTGCATGGGGTATTAACAATGGCACATTCCGACCTTTCTAAACATGATGGGAAGCAGAATACTTTCTAAGCTGTGGTACCAGTGGACCAATGATGAGAGCTGAGCATTATATTTTATGAGCAGGAGGTAAGAGCTTACTGGGTTGTACCAGGCTGCAGCTTCTTAGCGCCAAGGCAGGTTGTGTCTGTAGAGAAAAATGCAACAAAGTTTGAGGCCAAGGGGAAACTGAAGTGTGCAAGAGCTGCCTTTTATAGTCTATAACAGACTTGATATGGTACCTGACATTAGGAATAACTTAAAAGATGCTAGCTATTATTATTCACATCTAGGCAAGCCATGCAGATGATCAAGAGTAGGCTAAAATAGATGGGAGTTTTAAGGAGAGACAGGAGCTTAAGAAAAGATTCTGCCTTGGTTTTTCAGTTTTCCTAACTCCTTGGAGACTTGCTTCTAATATTATATATACACTAGTCAGTTGTATTCAGAAGTCTCTATAGCAACAACTGCTATCACTTGAAACTAAGTGCCTCTGAATAGAAATGCTCATGCATGATTGCATGCACAGGGAAAGGATAGAAGAAGCTTCCCTTATTTTACAAGAAAGCTGAATTCTCTTGGCAGGCTAATTTGAATCTTAAAAGGGAAAGGCATTTATTAGATGTCTCCGATATGTCAAGTGCACAGCATCCCTATGTGGTGGGTATCATCCTTATTTTACTATTAAGGAAAAAATAATGGAAAGTATTAGGTAATTTGCCCAGTGTTGTAGATCTTGTAAGTAGCAGACCTGGCTTCTCAAGAACATTTGATTCTACAGCACCATGTATTTCCCTATGACTGTGTGGGAAAGTTTCATTGATGAATGCCATTATTGAAGTATTCTATTGTAATTTTTGAAGCAATCTCTGAATTAGCAATATCTCGAGTTCAAGTCCATACATAAAGAACTGATTTCCATCAAGGATAGGTTCACTATGATACCCTTTTAGTTATAGGTAACACTCAGGCCCTCAGTGAAAAATTAAAATATGTATTGACATAATTAATAATTTGTTGGTGTGGCAGTCATTACAGTAAATGGTGTTCAGTTTAGTTTTCCCAGTAAGGCCATCAAATCTGAGTAGCTGCAAGTCAATTGATATCCAAGGGTGACATTCCATAAAGAGAGAGGCATGCTTGAAAACAGGTAGCTCCACACCAGTGTGGGGAATAGATATGGAGTCTGGTCTGAAGAAGGATTTTCATCTTTAATGCGACCTCACAACCCTACTCTCTTAAGTAGGCACATACTACTGCACACTTTTCAGTTTGGCAGGGCCCAACAAGACTAGCCAGTGGTAGAATTATGATTTTAACTCGGGATTTCTGGCTCAGGTAGTGCTTTCTGCTCACTGGCTGTGGTGAATGATCTCTTTAGCCTTTACTTTGAATGACCTCCTTAGCCTGGGCTTGCTGTGGCCAACATCCCTGGCAGACATCTCAGAAATACAGTCTCTGGCCCCAGCCCTTGACTTAATGAGAATCCTTGAATGACTCAGCTGGCCATTAGGGGAAAGCTCAGCTGTTAGTCTTTTCTCTCCGGAAATTGGAAAACACACTGAAAGATCAGTTGCGGGGAGGCCCCATCTTGCCCCCATTGAGATTTTTGCCTATGGGAAGGTTCTAATTTGCAGACAGCAGTTCCAGGCTTAGCAGTTACTCCTGGGGACTCAAAAGTTGCCTGTTGGCATTTACATAGTTGATTGTTGACTTAATTGGAGATTTCATGTCTCAGCTGGTGTCGACCATCGTGGGCACTTGTACTTTTTGTGAGGCAGTACACGTCAGTGAAACTTGAAAGATGTAAGTGCTTTATTTATTCATTTAAAAAACTTTCTCAAAACACTTACCCTGTGCCAGGCACTGTGTCCTCCAAGAAGTCACAGTTTGATGAAGAGGGCTTAGCCCTCAGACCTTTCCTAACACAGAAGAAGGCCGTGTGTTGGCCATCAGAAAGCTTGGGAGCCAAGGAAGCAGCGGGGGGCAGTGACCTGCCAAGGTGCTATAAGTCACCATCATTTCCTGTCCTCATTTCCCACCCCCCTCTGTTTGTAACAGGAGCAGGATGGGACCAGTCTGCAGGTGCCGCCCAGGCTCTTGGAGCCCATCTCAAAATGCGGTCACCTAGATATCATCTTTGAATATAGAGCTATAGCCCAGAAGCTCACCGTGACCATTGTGAGAGCCCAGGGACTTCCAGATAAGGACCGGAGTGGTGTCAACTCCTGGCAAGTTCATGTCGTACTCCTGCCCAGTAAGAAACAGAGGGGCAAGACGAACATCCAGAGAGGGCCCAATCCTGTCTTCAAGGAGAAGGTCACCTTTGCCAAGCTGGAGCCCAGGGACGTGGCTGCCTGTGCTGTCCGATTCCGCCTGTATGCTGCCCGGAAGATGACCCGAGAGAGGATGATGGGAGAGAAGCTGTTCTGTCTCAGCCACTTGCACCCAGAAGGGGAAATGAAAGTGACTCTGGTTCTGGAGCCAAGAAGTAACATAAGCGTGAGTACATTAAATGGTGCTGCTAATGATGCGATGTGTTCAAAGACCTGGGACTGTCAGCCCTTGATTTACAGCATTCAGCTTGTGGATTCATAGACGTTAATTTGATTTTCCATTTGGCTCTCATCATTAATAGGCCACGATTTGCACTTCATGGACAGCGGGTCTTTATTTGCACTTCATAGACAGTGGGTCTTTCAAGCCTGTCATCCTGATAACTTGATGGATATATTTTCCCACCCATTTTAGGAAATGACAGTGGCGACATGATACAGGCCATGGTAAGACCTGGAGAGGCTTTTGACTTAGTGGGTAAGCATTCCCGCTCCTCCCCTCTCTGGGATGCATTGTGAGGATTCTCAGACATGGTACTTTTTGTTGTTGTTTTCTTGAAATGAGAGTCTTACTACGTAGCCCAGGCTGGCTTCAAGCTCATTCTGTAACTCAGGATGCTCTCCAACTCATGATTCTCTTGCCTCGTCTTCCCAAGTGCCAGAATTACAGGTGTGAGTTACTGAACTTCTGAGGCAAGGCTCTTAACAAGCGTTCAGAAGCATCCCACAACAGTAACCCTGAGTGCCGGGCACTTCCGAGGCCTTCCATTTTTGTGACTGGTCTCCCACCATGTATCTTACTCCTAGGGGTTCAATAGCCTGGAGGTCTAAGAGGTGGACAGCCCCACCTCTGCTGCTGCTGGTTATCTGTCATGCAGTGTGAAGAGCTCCTTTTACAAAACTGTATAGAAAGATCAGGCAGCTGTGGTTAGTCAGCCAATCAGTCATTCATTCGGAGATGATTCCTGGCATGTGCTGCACAAGCCAAGTAGCAACAGAAGCATGCAGACAGCTCTTATTCCAAAGTCTCCTGGAGGAGGGTGTTGACAGGCAGGCCTTGGTAAACAAAGCTCGAGAGGCTGCAGCTTGCTTTGGATGACCAGGAGAGGGTTTTTTGAGATGGTGGGGAAAAAAAAACAAAACCAGAAAGGAACAAACACCCCCATATAGTTCAAACAATTGAGGGAACAAGACTGGTGACATGTGTGGGTGGATCCTCAAGACTAAGGTGGAGGTGGGCACACACAGGCATTGTGGTGGAAAAAAGTAGCGTTCCGGGAAGGTCCATCCGTCTGAAGTTCTAATTCCGCCTGGACATCTTTAGACTGGAGATCCTAATTTTTGCCTCTCTAAATCTCCGCCACCTGCTGTCTTCTGAGACCTGCCTGCTGGCAAGCTCATCTTTCCCGTCGCTAGCTCCAAAACTGCAGCGCTCACCCATGACCTCTCTTTTCCAGCTGAAAGCTGTGTGTTCTCTTTAGATGTAAGCAGAACCTGGCTCTCTGGTGGGCTAGTGGAATAGTCCCCTGCTGGTGGCCTCTAAGCCTCTGCTGTTTTCTGACACAAGGGTTAGAATGAGCTCAAGAAAGCACAAGCCAGATCATGTCTCATGTCTACGCAAATCCTTCCTTTACTTAAAATCATGAAACCATAGAGGACAGAATTCAGAGAGGAGTCAAAAAGAGACCCTGCACTGTGAAGCACAGAAGTGAGTATGGCCACATCCATACTCATCAGTGCCAGGCCCTGGGCTCTGTGCTGGGGCACAGGCTGATGGGGAGAAGGAGCCAATGTGAAGGAATTTTGAAGGAAGAAAATAACTCATTTATCATCTACTGTTGAGCATGATTATATGCCAGATATGCTTGTATGCAGGAGGGACTGAGTAATGGGCACAGCTTTAAGAACCTGATAGGGGTAGGTAAACAGTACGATGAAAAGCACCACATCAGAGGCTTCTATAGAAATACAAGAATGAATGGCCTTCCTCCCAAGGATGCAAAGGTTTGATTGGTGCGTTTCTAACTTCTGGGCACCAAAGCCTGTAAGGCCCCTGTTGAGACCACTAGCCATTCTGCTTATAAATCATGATCCATGAAAGCCTGGAGGTTCTTGTAGAAACACACATGGTTTGGTTAAACTGCTGCAGTCCCCTGGACACGCACAGCATTTGATTCCTTATATTGTTTTTGCTTATTGAGATGCTGGCAAGAAGCTTTAGAAAATAATTTCAGACGCAGACAAGAACGATTTAAGAGAAGCCCCGCGCACTTGTGTGCCATGGAGGAAGTGGCATGCTGGAGGGACTGCTGGGCTGTTCTCGCCAGCCAGGCTGATGCCCACTCATGTTCCTCAGTAAGAATCGGTGTCTTCATTTATCTTGTCCTCTTTTTGATATGCCCAGTGCATAACAATGGCACTCAGAAGTGTGTACATGAATAAACATGAGAGCAAGCCTGGGCTCTTTTCTGGGTTCACCTGCTGCCACCCGGGTTACCAAGATCCACAGTCCATGTATTTGATCTTCCATCAAATATCACATAGTAAAAGTGCTCATTTCCTGTGTAAATTTTTTTTCCATAGGAGACAAAAATTCCTATATGGAATGCACTTCTTTAGCAGCAGAACCAGACGCCAGGTGTTTTATATACTGGCCAATACCCAGTGGTCATTTCTTTTATCTTTGTGACAAAGCATCTTCTGTATTGCCTTATTCATCAGGAGTGAAGAGAACAGAGACAAAGCCCAGGCCTGGAGTGGGTAGGTTCCACAGAAACATTTAGGAGCAAATTACACAGGAGGGAATCTTGGCCTATATTAAGTGTGTTATTCACACTCCATGTATCTTAGAAGGTTTGATTTACACTAGCAATAACATCTTTGTCCATTTTGTCTTTAGAGAGGAAATATTGAATGGAGACTACTCTTGGAATAAATATGTCGGCTAGTACCATAGGCCATCTCATACATGGCTGCCTTCCCTGGCACATTGTAATTCACACTGAGTGCCCATTAGTAGTCTTTGGCAGTCATTGAGACCGGGTCACAATTTCACCAAACATAATATCAGCTTTCTCTCAAAGAGAGGGACGCAGCATGGACCAATGAATTCTTTGTGTTCTTCCCCTCCAGAGTGGAGAGTCTCCGCTCAGCCCATCTGTGGTGTCTCACAGTGACAGTGCTTCATCCACACAGTCGCTGTCTCATGGAGGGGTGCCAGAGCTGTTGGTGGGGCTGTCCTACAATGCCACAACAGGGCGATTATCTGTGGAAATGATCAAAGGCAGCCATTTCCGAAACCTCGCTGCTAACCGAGCTCCTGGTAAGTATGTGTCTGATGCTCTAGCTCTGGTATCTCCAGAGGCAAGTGAAAAGCCTTGTCTATTTCATCTTAATTCTTCAATTTTGTTTTTGTGGTAAAAGATAAATTCGGTATGGCTTGGGTATGTTTTCATGAAGCAATTACCTCTGGCTTTCTTCATGGCTTCTATTTAATTAGAAGAAAGACTTCTATGGTATCTAAATATATCTTGACATGATTTAGAATGATCTGTGTGTCTATATTATTTAAGGAAAAAGACTGAAGCCTTTCCAGAAATGTAACATGCATGGGAATTGAAATCTGCCAATATTTTACAAGCCCTCAACTGTACAGAGGCAGAACTCTGACTTTGGGGGAGGCAGACAGAGCTGGGATTGAATTCCAGCTCTATTATTACCCGTTCAGTTTACTCAGATCTTGCACAATCAGTCTCTTGAACCCTTCTTGGCCCACTTGGAAAAAAATGCCTCCTTGATAGGCATGGTATGATATTTAAATACATAAATTTATGTGAAGGACTTAGCATAGTGCCAAACAGACACTGAGCATACAGAAATGTTATTAATGGTTATATGGTAAAGGGAATAGATCTGGGGCAATGCAGGACTGTCTCATCAGGAAAATGACTACTTCTGAGGTAACTATTAGGAAGAAATGCTTAGGACAACACTTTTCCCCCAATAAATGGAGATCAAGGTTCAGGAAGAGTCAAATAACTGCTGCTACCAGTTGCCTCAATAGCCCTCCAAACTAAGAAGTTGGATAATGAACATTGAAATAATGCTGCTATGAAATTACCTCAAAATTTTGTGATTTTAGTTACTTGCTAAAGAAGCTTTAGAAGATGAACTTCTGATTTTTGGACCTCATGTAAATATATCTAATTCGAGGAATATATTTTGTATCTGGAATGCTAGCTGCAAGAGAGTCAGAAACATGCTGTAGAATTAGTTCTAGCCACTTCTGAACAGGAAGGTAAATTTGAAGGTGGGAAAGTAGAAAGGAAGGAATCTGCTTCCCAGGGGAATTAGAATCTCATTAATAGAATGATGAAATCATTGCAAAGTTGATAGTTAGTGAGCCCTGGTGTCACATGGAAGAGGGAGATGAGGAACTAGATAAGAGTCAGCTCCTATAACCGAACCTGAGACTTTTATTGCCCCCCCTTCACTTTGCTGTAGACTACCAATCATCTGTTGTAAGTGGCTATCTTTCTAGTCAAACCTTTAAAGAGAACTAAGGGGCTAGGTCAGCTAGCTAAGCATTTGCTTCAAAAGTATAAACACCCGAGTTCAACCCCCATAACCCATGTGAAATGGTGGTACTCTTGTAATCTCAGCACTGTGGGGGAGGATACAGGAGGATCTCTTAGGCCAGGCAGTCTAATATAGCTTGATTGGTAAGTTCCAGGCCCATGAAAGATGTCTAAAAAGAGGTAAATGATGTTCCTGAGGATGAAACCCAAGGTTGTTCTCTACTGTCCACATGGATGTGAACACACAAGTGCACTTGAGCACATACAAATAAGCATACTCCTCTCATCACACATGCATTAACAAAACTAGGTTGACACCAGCAGAGAAGGCCCCAGAACTCTGGGTAACGGAGTAGACTGGGAGGTGCGTAATCCACATTCCATGTCACCATTCAGGCAGGTGAAAGCTGTTTAGAATGTGCAGTGGGCACTGATTATTAATTGTGCAGCTAGAGGCTCTTTGATAGACCCATCTTTTCTTTCCACAACAGCCTAGTACTTGTTAGGATCCTGATTTAAGGCTCCTCCCCCAGAGCACCTGCCAATCTCCTTTCCCCTGTTGCTGAGATTTGGTAATACCTGAACAATATTTGGGAAATACGAATGATGGAGATGTAAAGAGTGGTGAAGCTGTGCATGATAGACATGGCCCATTCAGGTCCAAGTTAGGAAGCTCTCCTCTGTGTGCTGGATGGTATAGCCAGGGCAGGGGAGGAGAACAGCATGGTGATTGAGAAAGAATCATCTAGAAGCTAACAAACCACACTGTAAACTCAGGTTCTCCTATATATTAGATGTGAGTTACTAAGATATTCTGAATTTGTTTCCTATATATATATTAGGTATGGATAATACACATAGAGCTGTGATAGTGAAGGTTATGCCATCGTATCTTCATATAATTCTATTTTTAAAATGTGGCCAAAGAAGAAATTGTTATAATAATTATTTAAGTCTGAATAGAACAAAAGAGTAAGTCTTAACTTGAAAATGGATTTAATTCCATAAGTTTAAGTTCAAGCACAGGAGTGTAGGATTTATTATAGACATAGTGTCACAATTTAACTTTAACTGTGACTGGCATACTTCATCTCTGAAACCAAAGCATTAGAAAGCAACGCTGTTGTGAGGCTCTTAATTAAAACCGAAACCAAGCAGTGGAAACAAAAGGTTTTTTGTCTATGAAAAATGCTGGTTGTTGAGGAAAAGCCAATTAGGAGGGGATAAGAGTGTAAAAAATTTCTTCGTGGAGCTCCTAAAAGGGACCTCCTGGTACTTTCAAGGACTTGGGAGGCTGACAGTGTTAGCTCTGCATTAGGGCATGAGCACTAACTACATTGGCATCTATTAGGCAAATTTAGGGTATGTATTCGGGTGTTATGAGGTGACTGAGCAGAGTTGGAAGAAATGGAGATGGGAAGAGGCTAGGAGTCAGTAAGTAAAGGAGCTGTGAGTGAGAACAGGGCAGGAAGGATGCAGGGTGCACTGCTACCCACAGCAGAAGAGAGGGAAGGCAGCCAGTGATGCCTTGCCTGTGTGAGTGGATACCCAAGGGCCTGCCTACTAGGGGAGATGTGTGCCTTAGAAATGAACACGAGGCAGGGTCACGAAATACTGCCCTTGAGTCTCTCAGCTCAGGTGTCTCCACCTCTTCTGTAAAAAGGGAGTCTCAGTCCTGCCTTGCAGGTGTCCATGATTGTGGAACAGTGGTGCTTGGGTGAATATGGAGAGGAGGCTAAGCCTGAACATTGAGAACTTTTCTTCTTTGCAGTGTTGTTAAAGTTTTACAGCCAGAAAAGAGACAAAGGTTGAGATTTAGATGTGAGAATCTCTTGCCTTATGACTTATCAGAAAACAAAAGAACTCAGAATTTGCTAGTTAACCCAATCAGAAGGTTATGTGGGGGTCTTCACTTGTTCTCCCTAAGCAAAATAGACAATGTAGAAAAAGAGTAGATGGAATTCGGGGTTTTTTTTTATTTTTTTATTTTTTATGAGAGCCTGAGAGGAAACAGGCAGTCCAGTTGTAATCAGTTCCCCCACACCTAAGGTAGAATCCTCGGCGAGGGGGACTCAGCAGGCCAAGGGAAACAATGGTGGAGACATGAGTCACAGCAATTAGAGACCATGCCAAACAGAGTCTTCTTATCCTTGGTTTATCACCAAGTGGCTGAAACCAGAAGGTCTCATGATGTGGAGAACATGTTCATGGTTGCCAGGGCTCTCTAGAGTAACAGAACTGATAGAATGAATCTCTCCATGTATGTGTATTTATATACATAATATACGGGATTTATTAGAATGCCTTGCAGGCTGTGGTCCAGCTAATCCAGTGGTGGCTGTCTATGAATGGAAGGTCCAAGAATCCAGAAGTTGTTCAGTCTCTGAGGCTGGATGTCTCACATGGTCTATACTGAAGACCATGTGAGACATCATGAATCCTGAAGAAGTAGGCTCTAGTGCCAGTGAAGGAATGGATTTACAAGTGAGAGTGAGAGCAAGCAGGCAAAAAGAGAGAGCTTCCTTCTCCCGTGCCATTTACATAGGCTGCCAGCAGAAGGTGTGGCCCAAATTAAAGATGGATCTTCCCACCTCAAAGATCCAGATTGAAATTGGGTCTTCCCACTTCAGATGATTTAATTAAGAAAAATCCCTCACAGGTGTGCCCAGCTAGTTGGGTTTTTGTTAATCCCAGGTATAGTCAAGTGGACAATGAAGAAAGAACAGCTGTCACAGTGGGAAGGAATAGAGGCCAAAACAGCCATTTTGGCCACCTGGAAGTTTCTTGTCTAATTTGGCATGCTGTGACATTCCAGCAGTTCCTTCCCTAGCATCAACCTTAAGCCAAAAACAAACAAGCAAGTGTGTGCAATAATTTCACTGTTCAGAAATACTGTAATTGCCAGTAAGGTAGTATAAGCTGGTCTACAACTCTTCTAGTGGAAAAAAAAAAAAAGGGAGTCCAGGTTCACAGCTGGAGGAAAGGTGAGAGAACAAGATCTGTTATCTGGTAGCTCTCTGAAATCCCCACGTACTTTACAAATTCCTTTGCATAAGATATTAGTACTAGTCAGAAACATTTGATTGTCTTTTGAATTTGGTTTCCTGGAAAAGCAATTCACTTGAGGTTTAACAGATCTCCTCTGCTGTTAGCACAGGCCTGCCACCCAGTTATTGCTTGGCCTTGACATTTGATTGAACTTCTCCGAATTTAATTTCCTTCTCTATTAAATAAGATTAACAAAGGGATTCCACAGACACACAGGCATTGACATCTTTTGAAGAAGTCATCTATTCTGTTGGCAACTTCCCTTTTTCTGTCTCCGCTCTGCCTTCATTGACAGTGTGTCTCTGCACTGTGTACGTGTGTGTATAGAGCCACATACAATGGTACTTGTCAAAAGCTATCATTAAGACATCCCCTCCAGTTAAAACCAGCAAGTCTCCCAGCTTCGCAGCATGCCCATGATTAGTCACATGTGATAATTACAACCCAAATGATAATACTTAACAGCAGCAGTGTATTAACCTTGTTAGGCAGTCACAATAGCGGAGTGCAGGAAAGAAAAACAGAAAAGCAAACCTGAGCTGCCTCTTGTTTGCTGTGAAGAAGTGAAAGCTAAGAGTACAGTTTACAAATAGAGTGCATGGGGAAAAGGATTCAACGAAAATGGGCATGTGTGGGACAGAGGCCTTCTTTTAGAACCGTTTTAGTTAAACAGTGTTTTAGCAGCTACTGTGTGCTT